AATACCAAAAGCCCAAACCAACTCCAGCTTACTCCATACTCCACGCCTTCCCCCTTGTCCTACCTACCGCCCACGCCTCCTTCCCTATCTTTCCCCCCCCCTCCCCCCCCCCTTGACGAGTAGGGCCGCATCAGGAGGGAATCTTGATGTGCATGTTATAACAGGCAGAAGACAGGAGAAGACAAGAGAGCAGCAGATGCAGGTGATGGATGTCCCACCTCCATGTACGAGTGCGACATACATACTCGTATATTACTAGGGAAGGAGCGATCCAGGGGACCAGTACACTGGTGCAGATTATAGATTACAGTGGAAGTGGATTCTGAGTCAGCATCCGTCGAGACCCAACCATTTTGGCAGCTATACGGAGCACATAGACACTCGGTACAGCCACCATATACAGTCAGTCGTACGAGTTCAAGACGGGCAATACGGAGTACTGGAGTAATAGGCTAGGCTTACTTGTGTCGTCGTGTCTTATAAGTTATGGGCTATCATGCCGTATGATGGAATACTGATGTGATGAAATGAATACGCTGTAATCCGTACAGATTAGTCTGTGGTTCTTTGATACTCGTACGACAAATCAATCATGCTACAATTATTAGTAATATCACTCCAATCTATCTGTACACGTATAGGCTATTCACATAATGCTCGTAGTGGTAAAATTCGCAATAAAGGGCTCCGTACACAAATGTACTCGTACTATTACTGACTTCTCATTGCTCACTATAGCGCTACCCCTCCACACCCCCCCCCGGTATAAAAACTCCGTACGGGGGCCTCGATACCGTTGAATGAGCTCTTGAAACATGACTACCCCGTACTGCTCGTATTCTCTACTCCGGAAGGCTATGCAATCTTTTGCTCTTCTTTCCTTGGCACTTTACGATTTCAGCCCCGTTCTATCATATCATTGCTCTCGTGGTTGTACGGAGTAATATTTCCCATGTATGAGTTTATGAGTTCCATTCTTGATATTCGATATACGCGTACGGAGTACACGTAGAAGATGTTTAAGCCCCCCCCCCCCCTCCCCCTGGGCCGTGTACGAGTGCATATATATTACTCTCGGAACACATCAGAGAGCAGATGGC